ATATGAATTATAAAAATTTAAAGCATTTAACCATCTTTATTAAAAAAAAAAAAAATAACAATTTTATTTTCTTCTCTACCTGGATGATTTTGGCAAAATTATATTTATATTCCGCTCTTCTTTGACGATCTTTAAAAATATAAGTTTGTAAAACAAGGTATACAAAAATCTAAGATTCCAAAACAGCAAAAGGTGCACTAATAGTGGAGTGGAGTTGAATGGCTTGGTGGTTAAGATAATTGCCTTCCAATCCCAGGGTTCTTGGTTTAATTCATCTTAGTGCTGCAGGATTTTTTTCTCATGACCAAAACAACTCCAATCCCTAAACCTCATATTGAGATTTAGTTCCGGATTTAGTTTGTGTTAGGCATTGTGTGTGCAAGTTGTTTTGTGAAAAGGATTGTCACCTATAAGTAGGATATATTCGCTATTGAAAATCCTAGGTGAATGTGTTGTGTGCCTAAATAAATAAAATTATAAATATTGAGGTGGCGAGAGTTGCGAGATTTTAAAATGATTTGGGTGAAAATGTGCTAATGTACCCACACAACTAGTCTAAAATTATAAAACAGCAAAAGGTGCACAGGGCATCAATCAGCAAGACAATATGGTCCAGACACCGTCCATGAGGTTCTAGCAGCCCCTGCCTCCAACTCTCCTATAATCCCATCAGGTGCATCACTGCTACCTCCATCAGGAAACTGGCCTATCATTATTCACTGTAAACTACAGTATACATCCCAGTTATGTCACCAGTTCTGTTGGGACCAGTGGCGGGCAAACCTAAATTGTGTACTTCCAATTTTTTTCAATGTCGGCCACACCCATTCTCTTTTATAGCACTACACAGTCTTCCTAATAGGCCTAATATTAGCCTTGGTTTTTCAACACCAACTATGATAGGTCTTGTTTTGTCAAAATGAGGGAATGCAACAGTTTGGAAAGGGATGGGGATAAAAACATGCGCCCGGCGCATTCTCTTACCTTACCACTAGAAATTTCCTGAGCACAAAAAAAATCCAGTCATGTGGGCCTATTAAGTAATCAAAAACAATGCCAATGCCAGAAATTCCCCGATGAGGAGTTCGAAACCCCCAAAATGGGCCTGCATTTACCTCAGCCCCACCATGGTTGGGGAAAATTTTTTAAAAAGACACCCCAAGATTCCTGGAAATGGCATTTTCAGATTGTAAAATTACATTTTCAAAGCTGGTGCCGTGATTGTTTAGACATCAAATCAGTTTCTCCCCCCCCCCCACCACTTAATCCTTCAACCCCTATAAGTCTCCCCCTCCCCATGTCGATACTTTACATCACTAGATACAGTGAGCTACAGAAAAAGCCAGACTCTTGTTAACAATGCCAGAGTAGGTGGTCATGAAGTACTAAAAATCGGATGAAAAAATAATTTTGAACAATGCTGCGACGGCCGCATCGATATATTTGGCAGGCCGAAGTTTGCCCGCGGGCCGGGGGTTAAATACTGGGGTATACATCAATTGAAAATACTGTAAACTTCATATGTACTTTATGATTTCAAATACATGTTTCAAGTAACTTTATTGGTCTTTATAATACAGTACAAAGAAAATCTTGTCAGCATCTTAATTTGGAAGTACTTGTACACCTATAATTATTATAGAACAAATATCCTCCAAATATTTCAAGAACATTCACAAAACAGCTGAGAGTATATTAGGGTATTTTTAAATAAATTTAATACAGTACACAAAATAATAGACTTGAATTCTCTATTTTTTTAAAAATTTCACAAAGTTAGGGGGTGGGGGAAAGGCCAGAAGGTCCCCCTTGGATTCACTTATGAATTAGATTAGTAGAGCACCTAAGTGACCCAGTTGTGCATTTTATTACCGAAGCATGAAACTTGGCACAAAATATCTTTCATATTATATGTAGATTTATAAAAAAAAAAGTTGTGTGCCATGTCTCTGATGCCTACTATGGCCACCATTTTGAATTAAAGAAGGTCACCACTAATGTATCTTATTTCTACATTATTCCATATTTGCAACTTTCATTGAATTTTAAAAATAATTACTCTATAATGTTAGGAATAAATTATATTATCAGTAGAACTTTAGAACTCCCCTTTATGTGCTGATTCCTATGACTAAATCAGCTTTTTTTTTGTCTGGTTTACCAATACAGTACTCAATTATTGTCTTTATCTGGGATGGTTATGTAATCATCACTATAGTAAATTATGTCTTCATTGTCATGGATCAGAGATGGTAATACCTGCTACACAATCCATTTAAAATATGGCAACTCAACAATACATTTTCTTCACCATCATGAGAACTGTTTGATTACATATGGCGCTGTAAGGAAACAAACAATTTGCATCTTATTACAATTTTTAGGTTAATAAACATATATAATTAAAATTTGTTTTCTTAATCACATTCTCAGTCAACGCTGGAATAAAATATGTGATGTCTTTGCAAAATGTGGACAATGCAAACAAATAGATAAATAACAACAGTGCTCTAAATAATAGGACCATCAGATACAGGAGTCCCAAGTTGGAAGGATCACCCTTCTGGGAGATCTATTTAAATTAGCTTTCTTAACATGCAAATATTGTGAATTCGTAGGAGATTGGTTGTTTTTCAGGAGATATATACATATATACATACATATATACGTCTACATGTGTGTGTATATATACTGTACATGTGTGTGTATGTGGTTTGGATTGGGTTGGATTTATTCGGTGTAAACCCAAAGGATAACCCACTATAGTCTGAAGAAGACTTATTTCCAGTGGGATCCTTAATCTAGTGTTGAGTGAGCAGTACACCGACAGAAAATCCCTACTGTTTTCTGAATAGTGTACAGCGTTCCTTAACATGCACACAGGCCATAATGCACACAGGACCAACAGCTTAAACGTCTCATCCAAAAGACGGTGTGCTATTGTTACTTCCATTTCAAATATAGACACTAATAAAATTATACACAGTTGACGAAGTATAGGAGCGTAATTTTATTAGTTATGTATACTGTATATTTTCGTGAAACTTACCTACTCTGAGAGTTACAACAATTGCTGCAAAAGTTCCCACATTCACCCAGAATGCCTTGCGCATTTTCTGCTGTTCTTCTTTTGGGTCAACCTTTGGACCTACTGGCATGCGAATCATTGTGTTATCTTGAATATGAAACTCTGTAATCAAATTGTACGGAATTTATTAGTGAAACAAATATAGGTAAAGGTAAAGGCAGGAGAATAATCCATAACTCGCAGCATCAATGTTCTAAATTGCATATGGGCGTTGTCTGTGACCTAGTTGCATAAAGAGGCACTTTCGTACAGTACTTCACTTAAATAGTAGCTTCATATGCACATCATCAAAAGGGTTACGGTACATCCATGGACCTCAGCCACCATTGTTGTTACCTGAGTTGGAGTGAGAAAATGTTCAGAATTATAGCCCTCAGTAGAAGCCTGAAAATTTTCATAACCAACTTTTTTTTATAGCAGAGTTCACTGAACAAAATGATAGGATTCTTCTCCAATGGGAGTCAGTAGCAAAACGGCAATAACCAAAATAGCAATGATAAGATAAGAGTCAGTAGCGTAACTAGTTTCTGAGGCGCCCTGGTTTGAGAGTACCGTCGGGGCCCTTGACACACAAATCCATACTAATACCGTCCTCCACTAAACATCATTCTGGTGCGAATGGGAGTCAGTAGCGTAACTAGTTTCGGTAAAAGGAATGTATAATACTATATATATTATACTTTTACTAAAATTATTCTCTGTATGTATATATCTGTTTGGACATTATTATTCCAGAGTCCCCCCAACAGGGGTCTTTTTTTCCCTGATTTTCAAGTCAATATGGACCACTTTCAAACTGGGCCCGATGGTTCTGAAAATGTGCATGATCATCCTTGGCTCGATCGTCTCTAATTCAAAGGAGTTGTCTTCGTCAGCCGACGGTTGCGTACGACGCACAGAGTGCCCTGCTTTACAAAACAAAATGTAGGGACATAGACGGTAGCTGGTCAAAATGCCAATAAACCAAAACAGCAATGACCAAAACGGCAATAACCAAAATAGCAATGATAAGTACCAAAATGGCAACAGATCAAAACGGCAATGACAAGACAAAAACAGCAAAGGAGCAAAATCAATGCCAAGAGCAAGTGCAGTCAGGCGCGGGCCGCAGATTATAAGTTTATTTATTTGAATGTTTACTGCTTCTATATTGTGTTCTCTTTATTATTATAGAATTTGTATGTTGTTATTATTATTATTATTAATATTATTATTATTATTGTTGTTGTTGTTACTGTTATTATTGTTGTTGTGCTGCATTTTTTACTTTTATGACATAAATTGTTTAAGCCTCATTTTGTCTATATTTTGAAGTTTTATTTATTTGAATGTTTACTGTTTTTATATTGTTTCTCCAATCTTTTTATTATTGAATTTGTATGTTTTTATATTGATACTAGGCTTATTTATTATTATTATTATTTTCATTTTATTATTATTATTATTCTTATTATTATTATTATTATTATTATTATTATTCAGATTCATTTTATTCTGCTTTTATATTGTCACTGATTAAATCTAACATTGTTCCATCAAGAGTCAGCTGTCAAGCAGTTTTCTGTAAGTATATTTCGAACAACTTTAATTGAATTTAAATTGTAATTTTGATATAAAATAACCATTTATGTAATATAAATAAAAAACACATGTATAGTTGTTCGGTATCCTATCATTTCGGTTGTGCCTTCATTCGCTCTATTTTTGTTATGCATTTTGGTCGCTACATATAACGCGCCAAAGGTGCGACCGAGAATCTGGAACAAGGGAGCTAAGCAGTATAGTATTTTTATAAACACAAAATTTATCAAACATTAGTTGACTAACAATTATTTGTATTACTGTACTATAATATTATAGTTATTATTCATGTTAAATGTATCACTTGCTGTTATTTTTCTTCTTTTTTTTTTACAGCAACAACGAAGTGTTGCAAAATCGTTAATGTTTGTATTGATATATATTTTATTAATGCTTATATTCAATGGATAATAGTTTTTCATACATTTGTTTTCTTGTCTGTTACATTTCCATTTATCTTGAATGTTCTGATCATGTTTATAATTTGAATAAATAAACATACTGAATGATATATACAGTATTTTCATATCTATTTTAAATATAAAATTTTCAATATATTTATAATGAAGCACCGTACATTTTAATGGCCCATTTCAGACTTCTCTTATATTCATAACCCCAACAAAATCACTTTTGCTAGTCCTATTCTATAGTTGCACTAGAATTTAATTTCCCACAAAATAGATTCCCATGGTACTCTTGAGGTGAAGCAGGCACCAGGTTTGTATTTTCTTGTTTGTTTTATTTCCATTTTTTATACATTCTGATGTTTATTAAATACATAGTAAAATGCAGCTTTAATATGTACAGTAATTTTAAATACATGTTAATAGCCATTCCACGGTTTCGGGCGTCCTTCTAAAGCAAATTCACTACTTCGAGGCCTATTCCTGTACCAGTTGCCTGGTAACTAACCATAAAAATTGGAAAGAAATTTTCCCACAACCAAGGTTCCCACGGTGCTCATGAGGGTATACAAGAAGGCGTATTCTTTTTACGCCGCCTTCAGGAATGTGGACGCATTATGCTATAAAGACAGAAGTAGGTCAGATGCTAAATATAGATGACTAGATTTTTAGCAGGTCATGGCAATGGCAGTGAAGGTGTCCAAGTGCGTTCACCTACTTCGATGTCACCATTAACTTCGATTCATCTATCTGATGATCATACTTATAAAAAAAATACAAATATAAATTGTAAAATATAGTTAATGGAATGTACAAATACATATATTTTAATATTCTGATATAACAGTATATTTGATTAAACAAATTAAATCATAATCGTAACAACGCTCCTACGCCTTGATTTTGAATAATTCAAAAATTAATAAATAAAAATATGTACTTGACTTTTCACTTCTGGACCGTAAGAAGAAAATGAACACGCTAAAAGCATATTCAAATTAATTGCAATTAATAACAATCGTATAAAACTTGAACAACAATCATACTAAAAAAAGAAAGTATTATGCCTATGATAGTCAAGTATCATAAAAAAGACATCATTAAAATTAATACCAATTCTGAAACACACACACAAAAAAAAACTTTAAAAATGCAAAACCCTTTAAAAATTTCTTTACAAACATAAAGTACTAATGCGTACATTGGCGTTCCTAACTGCGGCTGTTTATTGCAACCGAAATGCATAACAATACGGCGCTACCAAAATCTGTATTACGCAAACTTTTATTGCCATTTTGACTTATTGCCGTTTTGGTCATTGCCGTTTTGAGTAGAAAGCAAGTAGACTAGTAGGCTAGACCTTGTGTTTGGCCTAGCTTGGTTAGTAGGCGCCTTCTTCTAGCCTAGGCGGCAGAGCAGTCTTTTTTAGTAAGTACCTACTCTAGGCCTAGCCTCCTTGCCTAGGCTACTACCTAGGCCTAGTGTAGTTGTAGTAGTTCTTTTTATTGTTAGTCTGCCCGTTCAATAGCCTTGTCTGAACCAGTATATACATTTTTCATCATTTTGATATACAAATTACAGTACATTTAATATTATTACTTCTTTTACAGGGCTATATACTGTAATAACTCTTACTTACAGTTTGGAGACCAGCGTGTAAATGCAACGAAATTGAGAGGTCAGCAACGAAAATGAACGATGAATATCGCATCCACTGAGTGTTGTTGGACACGCTCTCTCAATTTTCATTCTAGAAGCTGATTGGTAAATGCTTCTGTTATTTTACTATGGTCCAATCAGCAATGATCACTAATATTAAAGTTACTAAAGAACAAAAACAGATGTGATTTTTGTTTTAGAAGCGCTGACTTAAGGCTGGGCAACAAGAACGGGTAAGAACGAAAGGTTAGCTTAAAATTATTTCAGTCGTAAAGTTTTCTTCACCCAAACCATATTATAGCTAAGCCCGGAGCCAATTTTGATAGAAATTGTAATTCTTTATAGCTAACAAACATAACAGCAGCAGTACACTGATAATTGATTCTGTCACGGTCTCGCTCATCTATGTAATGTAATATGAAACCCTTCTTCTTTCAATTTAAGTTTCATTACTGAAATGAAAAGTGTATTCATAGATAGGGCAAGGAGGTGATGTGGCCAGTCAATGAATGATGCAGTGCTTAGGGCATGTACAATTCTTTTGTGTGATGTGAAATAATTGCATGAACTGATGAATAATTTTTTCTCTAACTAGTATTTTCGTCTGTCTATCACAGAAGCCAGGGGTGGCGAAAGTGGTCTGGAAGGTCAGGATCCCACCACAAAATATTTTGCTTAGGTTTAAATATTATTTTTATCTAGAGTAATAAATATCATAAGTCAGTGGTGACATCATCACTTTCATTTGCAGTGAATTTTCCTACTGTATCCCCGACTTATCACCAGGGAGATGTAAAAAATAATTATCACTATCAATAGTAATTTTTTGCATCTCGTGTGCAAAAAGCTCAAAGCCTGGGTGATTTTACTACAGTCCATCGCGATGGAATATTCTGTTGCTAGGCCAAGCTATGAACGCACACAGCGAACCTGACAAATCTCGCTCTATGGTGCTGGTTAACACAAATGAGGCCAAAACTGTCCTAGACAAGGCATAGAAATTTGGCATACTGGTTATGGGATTATAAAAGAACTGAGAAAATAAGACATGCTGAAATGATTCATAATAATGTTTACACCTTCATTTTAATCTATTAAACAAATGATATACTGTACACATGTTAGGTGACTTTTATTGCTTTAATACAAACCAAAATGAATGGGGTGCAAGCTGATGGAGCTTGGTAGGCAATGATCTTTTGAGATAAATGCCAACTGGCTGATTGACCTCTGCACTGACCCTGATTTTAATGTGCTTGGGCAACAATTGTTTAGGCTTTAATTAGAATTCTTGTGTAGGCTACAGTACTGCAGGGGTGGAAGAAGCATTGGAGATGAGTCCAAACCAATTTTAGTCTACCACTGTTTTGAACCTCTAGATGCCAGGAAAGAACACTATTTTTAAGGCAGCAGAGGGTGTTATAAAAATTTTTAAAAACATTTTTATTTTTCTGAAATTTCCACTTTTTCATGGTGGCGGGTGCGCTAATTGGCCAAAATTAAATACAGTACTGTACTGAGAATTCCATACTTTTTCACAATAACAATATGGGCTGTGCAAAATCTATGGTCCACTGATTATATTAATATTTCTAATTCTAATAAAGAATGAAATAAGTCAAATTGTATGTGTTTGAATTAAGATAATTTGTTTATGAAACACACTTTGTTTTGATTTGATTTGTGCATGACGGTTTAAATATTTCATTCATCCTTGGCAAAAAAGAAGTATTGTATTCAATTCTTAGAATATTTTCGGTCTGTCAATCTTGGCCAGTGCATAGATATTTTTTTTCCCTAATCATTTTTCAATCCTCATTATCGTCATTCATATCATCATCATTCATAATAAATTTATAATTATTAGGTCATAATACTAATTTTAATGTTTAATATCCTTATCATATTATCATTTCCCAAAATGTATTCCTTCACTAAATACAGTAAACACTAAACTAATGAATCAATTTAATGGGTTTGACCTGTAGTAATAATTTTTCAATAATTAGAATATTGTATTATTTATAGATTTGTAAATTGATATCTAATTATATCTAATAATTATATTATTGATTATACACATATTACACAACTGTGTATTGTAGTGGAAATGAGGTGATTCCGTTGCAATGGCAGGCCAATGCATTATATACCCTGTGGAGACAAAGTGTGGTTACCATATGAAACTCGGCAAGAAGTGAAATTGGGAAACTGCACTTCAGCATTGTTATTGATTTATGTATAAAATCGTGCATTGAAACTATTATTGAATTAAATATCTGATAAAGATTTTTTTTAAAAGTTGTTCACTTAAATCTAGGCTCCGAAAGACAAAAAAGGTTTTTGATATGTGTATCCAACTGATATATTCTAAGAAACAAAAAGATTGTTTGACTAAAAACTTGGGAACGGTTAATGAGATACAGGACTGCTGAGTTTTTCTTTACAATAAAAAAGGAAGTTGAATAAATTGCAAATATGTAGTACACCTATGATATTGAAATATTTGGTCTCATATACTATTTGGTGAAAAATCTATCTTTACTGTATGGCAACCTTATGTTTGACCTCCTCCGACATGTCAACTGATTTTTGCACTTGGTTATGTCAACATGACCTTGATCATGAAAAATAAACAGAGTGTTATGATTGGCTGATGGGTTGTTTCCCCTCTGAGAAGCTTCCTTCAGTCCATGTAGATCAGATTCTAATGTAGGCCTAATTGTTATAAATATGTCTGATTAATTATTAGTACAAAAACATAGTTGAAATTTTAATATATTTTTTGTAATTAATATAAATAAATAAATAAATACAAATATGAATATAGATACCAAGGCTGTAGTGTTACTGGTGAAGGTGATGTGGAGAGTTTTAACCAGTACTGTATCCAACCCTGTGAAAGTTGGTGTAATTTCAGTCTGTAGGTTGAGAGTGAAGATTATTTCACAGTAATTTTGCATTGAACTGCAGTAGCTATAACGGTTTAGATAATGCAAATTGCATTAAACTAACAATTGTTAATTACCATTTTTAAATTTTAAAAATATTATGTAGAATGACAAGGCACCTTTGCTTGGACACATTTTTAAGACAATCCAAGCATCGAATATTACCAAAGTTTTCTGTCAAGCCAAAAAGGGTAATAGTAAGTGGCAAGACTGGTCAGTAAGCTTCTTAAATATTAATGAGGTTTGAAATTAATTACCTTATCAGTAAATTACTGGTATCTTTGCAATGTAATCTCGAGCAAGGACCGAAGTGTGCCCTCAGTTACTTTCACGCTAAACATTCACTTTTTCTTTTTTCATCACAATATTATTTCATTTTCTCCTTTATAATCTAGATTCTTTTCATAGAACAATTTTGATAAATAGGAAAAAAAATGTTTTTCCTTGCCCTCTTTAAAAATAAATTTTTCTAAACAAGTTTAAATGAAGTTTGACCGTTAATACACAAGCTCAGTTCACTTTTTCTGTTTAAGATCTTGTCTATATAAATATTCTCCAAAGATTCAATAGTGATCAAAGATGCAGTTTATATTTTCTCCTTTATAATCTAGATTCTTTTCATAGAACAATTTTGCTAATTATGAAAACAAAAAAATGTTTTTTCTTGCACTCTTCAAAAATAGAGTTTGCAATTTAGTTTAAAGAAAGTCTGACCCTAAATACACAAGCAGTCTACTTTCTCAGTTTAAAATCTTGTGTCTAAATAAATATTCTCCAAAGATTCAATAGTGATCAAAGATGCAGTTTACCCAAATTATTTTTGTTATTAAAATTGTAATCATTGTATCACTGTTAATCATTTATTAATTTAATGCATTTTTCAGATTACAGTGCAAGGAAAGGAAGAGAACCACCATGCTGCGGACAGTTATCCCAATTGTTGCTTGTCTTGTTTTGTTCTTTGTCAAAGGTAATTTTCAAAACAAATTGCCACATCAAGAAGAAACTTGAAGAAATCAGTTGTCAAATGTTTCACTTACTACAGCCTTTCAAAACTAGACGTAATATTTCTGGGTTGTCAATTTTTTAGTGCATTGTTTGATGATTGTCTCATTTCTCTCTCTGTACTTAAACCCTCTCTGCTTCCTCACAGAGTTCACAAAAGCAAAGTCACTCTCTCTCTCTCCCATTCTAAGTCAGTCTATCTCTCCTGGTTATTACACTCTTTCATTGACAAGTTTAGAAGACTATGGAATAACCTTCCACAGTGTGTTATTGATTCCACCACTAAACAAACTTTCAAGCATTGCCTAAGTTTTATGTTAACTGTTTGTTGTGACTTTTTTTCTCTCTTTTGTTTCTTTTGGCATGTCTGCTCTTCTTGTATAGCGTTTCGCTGCTAAGAATTTTTTTTATATAAAAAAAGTGAACATACCAAAAAATATGATGACTAGTTATGAAACAACTGTTATTTACAGAATCTATACCAATGCTGCTTAAATATTTCTAGTCCATTAAAGATACACACAGAATACAAAAGATAATATGCAAACCATGTACATGTAGAAAATATGCCTAGTTTAACTAATGCCAAACATTTAACATAATGTTCCTGTGATTTCTTAAATTAATAGTTCATGTGATTTTAAAAAGTGTAGGGCCTAACTCCATATCTAGGCTTTTGTATTATGATTAATTATATTGATAAGGTAACTCACAAAACAATTAATGACCCATTAATGATGATGACTTAACCCACCAAAAATTTCCTGTGACCCAATTTTTTGGGATGTGACCCATAGTTCTTTTAAAGAAATATAAAAACAATTGGTTGGAGTAAGCCTAAATCTCATTACCACGCAAAGGTGTGTTGAAATGAAAACCAGTAAATTGAATGACAATACATTCTGGTTTTTATAAGTATAATTAGTGGTCCTTCAGGTGGCATACCTCAGGTGACTATGGACTCTAGTCCCAATAACATTAATTCCTTTATCCACCCTTGGTCTTAATTGATATCAAGATCACAATGATTAAATGCCCTCATAATTAGGTTATGATTAAACATAAAATTAAAAAATAATTATCAAACAGTGTTTAATTGGATTATGTTGTGTAGGTGAGGCTAAAAGTAAGAAGAATGATGTTGGCTGTGACACCGAGTGGACTGGCTGCAAAGTGAAGGACGGACGATGCATATGCCACTCAAAGATTGCCTGTGAAAATCCATTTGAATATAGCACTGAGGAAGAATGCAAACAAGATCTTTTCTGTAAGTATTTATATACATGGTTTAAAGTTAATATTGTATCCTTGATCAAGTATTTTATTTCCCCAAAGTTTGTAGTAGGCCTATCAGGGGCGCAGCCAGGGTAAAATTTGAGTGGGGGGGGGGGTCAAGCCTAAGTGGGGGGAAAGGACCCCTGAGCCCCTCTGACTGCGCCCATGCCTATGTGGTTATTTTCAGTGAAACAAAGTAATCAAGTAATATTGACGTCTTCAGATCATAGAATAGAAACCAATGAATTTCTTTTTTTCTCTCCCAGAAGTGTAAATAAGCAGGATGTTGTGTATTTTTGTGATAGAGTATAGTGTGGGTAGTTATCCCAAAGTCTGACAATCTGTCTGGAAGACCAGCAGGATCCAGGATTAAGCAGTTCTGAGAAGTTTTAAAGAACTTTACAAAATCTCATCTAAGATTACTTAACAAGCCCACTAACAAGCTCACACCAAAGGGGATCAGACTCTCTTAGGACAAAGAGTTCCACTTCAGAGAAGTTTGATACAGTATGACAACATTTATAATATATAGTTGTTTATGTTCATTTATATTGGTAACACATTGCTAAGTTTTTTTTTCTTGCTTTATTTCCATATACTGTAATAATATTATGTAATCATGAAATATGTAACAAAAGCTCACGTTGTGTGTTGATTTGAGTTCAAGGAGGCAAACTGCTAATCAGATTTCCTACAGTCTGCTAACAAATTTCATGAGGCAGAAAAAATCTGGAAAACCCTCCCTACTCCATACACATAGTGATTTCTGTTTAGATTTTAAATTGATTCCTCTCATTACTCATGCTGCTTATGTAATATGTTTTTTCTGAGAATCTTGAAAACTCTTATATTTTCACATAGATGATGTATGTGCTGAAAATCCTTGCAAACATGGTGGACAGTGCGTTCAGTTGGACAACAAAAAGTATCGCTGCATGTGTGAAGGATCACTTTATTATGGCAAGAATTGCCAGAAAAGTAAGTAAAATAAACCTATATTTATAGGGTTTCATCTCTATTGAGACTTGGTGAAGGAATTGTTTTGGGGTTGGGTGGGGGATTCTTTAAAATACCTCTAGACATAATTCTCAAAGAAGAACATTTTCTTTTACAAAAATATGTGTGTAATAAGTTGATTTCAAATTATAGAAATATAAAATTTGATCTTTGGCCAGTTATAGCCCCTTCTGCCACTAAGGAATGACAATTTTATGAAAAAAGAATTAAATTCTTTTTATCACTTACGCTCCTGCCTTGAAAATACCATAAAATATCCATATTTCTTATAATTTTATAAATTAAAAGCACTCCAATCCCATTACTCCATTGTTTACATTCATCAATAACATTATTTTGCTTTTGGCAATACCATTTTGTTAAATAAGAAAATAAAGTTTTACTTTTCTTCCAACCTCTTCTGCCAATATTTTGATTGTATAAATAATAATTAAATTGTAAGGAAATTAAAGTGCAGTATTATATCAAGAATTACATTCTTGTAAATTTACTAATAGGATTTTTATATACCTGTATATAAAATATTTAATGTTTTGTAATTTTAAATATTTTTAAAAATTTATAAGGACTTTACCTATTTTTATGGATTTGTAAGTTTTGAATGTTTGTAAAAAGGTTTGAAAACAGTGTTGTTAATTTAATTTTTCCTATAAGATTTTACTCTTGATATTATTTTTTTTATTTTGTTGTCATTTTACTCTTAATTTAGCGCATTGATGATGTTCTTTTTGGATAAACCAACCAGAATATTATATTAAAAAAGTCTTGCCTCCGTCATGGTTGGGCTGAGGTTGGTGTGAACACAATACCTCTCAACCTGGTAGATACTTACCGTGTGTTTTTACACCGAGTGCTCTATAATCTTGTGACGGTTTTTTGACATTTTACACTGATGACCAGATCATGTGACCACATCATGGTTGTTAATTGTATCCATTTTTTCCATTAAATAAATAATGTATTGTAATTTTAATTTTATAATATTATAAAATATTTTTAACCTGGCAGTTACATTGTAGCTTCTGTGCTATACTGTTGTATTACAATAAGAGAAACAATTAACAATAAATATTGTTGTTTTTTTTTTCATTCAACCTTTCAGAATGTCCATTTGATCTGTCCACTCTCGATGATGCTGAACAAATCCAAGCAGAAGCATGTTTTTATTTTTAAATTATCTTATACTGGTTCCAATAGTGTATACTTGCATATAAGACAAGGTTTAAAATAGCAAATTACAATTGCAAAAAATTTTAGGTTTTTAAAATCATGTTCGTCTTTTGTGCAGATCGTCCCTAACACACAAATTTACTACAGCAATGAAGCTACTAAAATATTAGTAGGCCTATGAATGAATGCAATTTTAAATAAGGGGAAATAAGCTTTTAACTTTAAAATCTCTTAAATGGTATAATGTATTTGGAAGATTAACCCTGCAGTTAATCTTCCAAATCAGTTACAATCTGTAAGTCAAAAAATGTTTCAATGGCATTTTGGATTCGACAAAGGTGTAGGTAACCATGGTTTAGTGATTAGGCTTCCATCAATGTGTCCCCAAAGCTACTTTCCAACTAAGGCTCAAGCCAGCCCCAACTCAATCCTGGTGTAGGTCTTGTGCCTCGTGTGAATATGTAGAGTGCACACTATACAAGGTTTAACCTTGTGAGCCAGCGGGAAATTGTCAAGCGTTAAAATTGCATCGCTACCTGTAAATGGTAATATTTTTTACCACAAACTTCAGTGAGAAAATAAATAAATCCAGTGTAAACCAAGGGTCATTCTGGGTAGGCCTATCTTGCCTGGGTTGAGAGCACATTCAAGCCGGGGTGAGTCATCCTTGGCTGGTTAATACTACATATTTCTCAACTCCACTGAAGCAATCCTGGTTTGACTCTTCTGGGATTTGATGCTATAATTTTTATATACCAGCTGTTTTATATACAGTATGCTTACAGTCTCAGACCTGATAACAGTGGAAAACGCATTGTTCGTAAATGGTTTAATACTTAATCTTTGCTCAGACTCCAGAATCGGTGTGTTTTAGCCAAAATAAACACTAGGTGTTTCTGATACAGTACCTGGTACCCCAGAACAACGAATATAAACACAGGAAACTCTTAGAATTCAGGAGCAACTTGATAATTCCACTTCAGGTATTAAATACTATAATATATGTATTATTAAAGTAGAAAACATTTACATTATATAGTTATATCTGCTAGCTAAAACTTTATTTATGAATTAGTAAAAATAAATGAAAATATAATTGGCAACAAAAGTGGCATGACATTTATTCATTCAATATTTTAAATTGACAGCATTCAATCCTTTGCAGAGGAAAATACGCAGCTTTTTTGGAGTGTTTGTGCATAATGTTGTTTACTTGTTTTGAAAATTTAACTTGCAAAGTGTTTTGCGAATGCTAAAAAAATACTGGCCTCCACGACACTTTTCTAGAAGAGTTAGGCCAGTATCTGGAGCCTGATTAGGCACTGCCAGTCTTCATTTGGACACATGCTAGTAGAACTATACAATTCTACGCTAGCTCTTGATTCACAAAGCAGTAATTCCAGATCTTATAAACCTGTTATTCAAACTTTTTGGCTGGGTTGAAGCCTCTGGTCGTAAATACCATATCATCGTGGGTTAATGCAAGTCTCCTGGAAATTGCCATTGCAAGCAAAAGTCTCTCGCAAACTAACTCATCTACAAATTTGGAATGTTTGCAATTTTTGTACTACTGTTACATTAACATTGTAACATTCACTGATCAACACTCATCACCCCTGTTTCAAGAGAGCTCCACTGACTGACTTCCCATTGATTTATGTACAGTATATGTTGAAGGTCTAGCTTCTTACTTTCAAAGCACTTTTCTTTAAACAACCAGATTGCATTCAACTTACATTTATGTTCCTGGATGTACCCTCTGTTTATGTTATACTTTTTTGCTTACTGTTCCCCTTGCTGCCTCCAAAACAATTGGCCGTAGATCATTTTCTTTTACTGCACAAACAATGTGGAATTCACTCCTCAAACATGCACATTGATATTGCATTGCACATCGCTCAACTATATGACGCTATATGTGGCAAAGACAACACTTGTTGCAGAAATCTATTTTTAGTTATTAATACAGGGTTAAAGATGAAAATGAGAGCTATAAAATGGTGAAGGAATCATTTAAATGCAACTTTTCCTTATGAAGTTAAAAGTATTTAAATATACACTCGGTTTAAAGAACAATATTTGAGAAATCTGCCATCAAAGTTTATGATTCCAGGCAGAAACCATCACCAAATTGTTAAAAATTGTTGTTTTAACATTGAAAATGGGGTGAAAATAACAGCGTATCATGGTGTATTATATAAACTAACCTTTATATGGTGTATATAAAGGTTAGTTTAGTGCAGTAAACAGGATATCAAAAATGTTTCATTTCAGCAAGTATTGCGACGAGTGACTGGTTTGGCTTGTCTTTGACACATATATAAATTAATATATTAACAGTAATAATAATGACAATACGTTTGTAGACATCAAGTATTTATTTCAAGAGAATGATAGCACAATTGAACACATTCAACATACTGTACATGAAACACACATCGTGTTGCAATCCTGCAATCTAACACAATCTTCTCCTCAAAAAAAAAATACAATGTGCCTATAGGGAATGCTGTAATATATATTAATTTTTTAAAATTTAAGCCAAACACCAGAGGAAAACATATTTTGATAAGTTGTACAACTGATTTTTCTAAGACACCGAAAGGGTGTTTGAAGAAATAACCAAGAATGAATAAGAGATAAGTTATTGAATATTTAAAAATTGGGTGGAAAACAAGCAATGCAATTTTTTACCACAGTTCTTATCAAGTATTCACAAATCTGTATCTTATCTACTCCTAATTATTTCTTCAAACCCTTCAGTGTCTTAGAAAAAACAGTTGAACATTGTATAATTTACCCCTGGAACCTGGCTTTGACAATTTCTGAAAATGTAATAAACATTAATTCCCATCCCACTGCACCATTTTACAATAAATAACAAATAGATTCACCAGGAAAAATGTCAAACAGCCACCAACCACTAAAGCAGTATAGATATTCATAGGAAACAATAACACCTTTTTGGAATGTACTTGATAATACTGCTCACCTATTCACATAATGCCACTCTACCAACACATCACTAATACATTCCTCACTGTTTTGCTCCTTCCTATGTGTATAAAATATTTCATCTTTTTTAAGCTCTGTAAAATAAAATACAGTATTACGCTCAAATCTTGCAAACTTGGAGAATTCTAGTAACATCAAGATCCAAATTTTACACAAGCTCACACTATTACATGGACAGCATACAGCAGAGAATAATCATGTTTTTCTAATTTTCTTTTCAACTGATATTATAGCTCTCCAAGCTTCAGAATAATTTAGTTGATACTTATTTTTGAAAATAAGCAAAATGGTCAATGCGAAATGTCATAAGTCATATTTTCTTCCCATGCACAGCCCTACTCCACAATAAAATACACATGATATGTTTTTGTACATTAGTAGTTTGGAATGAACTTCATTATTTTTGCTTATAGTAAGCATAAGCTCAGTAGATATGTAATTGAGATAGGGCATTCTTGCATGAGGCAACACACACCTACTTGGGCAAGAATTGAGGGGTTTTTTTTTTATCTTTTCACTATAATTATTTTTAACTCGCAACTGCTTTTTTTTCTTATAAACACAAATAACTTAGATAAAAATACTCATAGTTATAATTTTTTTGTGCAGTATTTAGCTTTTCATGCTTGATTACAGATGATATTAAAAATAGAACTTGCCTCCACCATCACAGATCTGCACAATTTTAAGGCCAGATTATAAATCTTAATGTGTGGGTTTTTGACTAGAAATTGACAGTACATAAATATGTGCATTTGAATACATTTATTTTTTATAATATAGAATAGGAAATACTGAACTATAATAATAATTGAAAATGAACTATAATAATAATTGAAAATGCATTAAACAAAAGCATGTTTGTATAGAACTACCATCCTTGTTACAAACAGCACCTACCCTGAAAAAATGTACAAAAACTTGATACAAAGTACCACAGATTTAGTCTTAACATAGACCAGGATGAAAGGTCCTTCATTTTACATAGGTACGTTGCTAAAAAGATAAGAGACGGACTCTCCATTATGCGTTCTCCTGATAGCCTCGGCCAGGATCATAGATATATCAATTACCTAAAAAGAAAGACTGAAGTGAGCTGCAAGCGTGAAAAAATAAACTCAGGATTCATAAACCATGTGATACATAATACTCCACTTCATACTTTTAAATGTATTTCTTCCACATCAAATAAAACAATAAAATCAAATTAAAAATTTTAAAAAGCTAAAAGATCATAAAAACAATGAACCTCACAACAGTGACAGTGCCAGCAACAGCAGAGGGGCTTAAACCCCCCATCGGTCTGGTCAAGCCCCCACCCCATCGGCCAAAGCTCGTCGGGCAGTCAGACCAAAAAAAAAAAAAAAAAAAAAAAGGCC